TGCCCAACCTTCCTTCCGAGGAGTGGCTGGTGGGTTTGAACCGCCAGCCTTCTGGTTAGCAGTCAAGTGCTTTAGCCACTATGCTACCAGAGCTCCTATGCTACCTAATAGTTACTGATAATAATAGTTATATTTTTATTTTGAATAATGACTGAGGAGGTACACATTCTTATCTATGTCTCTTAATTACCACATTTGCCAGTCTTCCTTAAAAGGCCAGAGTCAAGGCTAAACCATGCACTTAGTGCAGCCTATTCTAATGACAAGTACAAACAAACAGCCTTAACAAGCCTGGATTTGCAAACGTCATAACTACCATGGGCCCAACTTGATTATTTTGCAGTTGTCATTGTAATTATGCTCCATACATAGGTACACTAGGACTCAGGCGCCAAGTGTGGCCACCACAGATGACTACACTTATAAAATTATTAGTACAAGACACAATCTCAATTAAGCTTGTTTGTTTGTTGTTTTTTTCAGTTGTCATTCAGTTGACCTTTTGGAAGCAGATAACAAGGCCTTTCTTTTGAGGTATGTCTAAGTGGGTTCAAACTTCCAAACTTTTGGTTAGTAGTCTAGTACTTAATAGTTTGCTTCACTCAGTTGCTAAATAAGTCAGCTCTCAACTTGATTCACAATTTCTTAGAGGGAGAGTAAGTGAATTAAATTTAAAGGTGTTTTCCTATGGCTAATTTAAGCTGATATATTAAGTCTCCTTCCTTTCCCACTCATGTCAGAGAAGGGTACATTCTGATATATTAGTTATCACATCAGTGATGGGATTAAAAATTTGAAGGCATCAACAAAATATTCCTCCATAAACTTTCTGGTAAAAATTAAAATTTGTTATGAGATTTTTCTCCAGAACTGGAAGGAGCCCTCTTAGCAGTGGTTAAAGTGCTTGGCTTCTAACCAAAAGTTTGTCAGTTCAAGCCCATCATCCACTTTGCCAGAGAAAGATATGGTAAGTCTGCTTCTGTAAAGATTTACACCCTTGGAAACCCTATGGGGGAGTTCCACTCAGTCTTACAGGGTCACTATAAGTTGGAATTGATTCGATGGCAGTGGGTGGGAGTAACCTTTGGCTCTCTGTAGTACTTGCACCCATTTTCCCCTATCCTAATACTTCTTCACTTTCAGACTTACTTTCTTAAAACTCTACCTTCATACATGGTAAAAAGGCTACCTGTATAAATAATAATTGTCAATTGCTTACCTTATTACATCTCCCATATCCAAATTTAAGATCTAGCCTTATCCTATCTATCCACTTCTTCATTCAGGTCTGCCTCCTCAGACTCCATGCCTTCAAATTGTGGATTTACGGAGAGTAACCCTCCCTGGTAATTTTCTGTAGTAATATTAACTACAGAAATAAGAACAATGCCAACCAGTGGCTTCACAAAGTATTTATTTATTTTTTGGTTTCAACAATAAATTTGATTTTTACTAGTATGACCTTAGGAATTTTACATAATACTTCATCTCATTATCCTGAACTATAAATTGTCACAATAACATGTCCTTTGCAATATCTCTTGAACAATAATTAACTATATCTACAAGGCAGAATATAGGAGCTTAATAAATAGCAAATTTTAGTCAATGACCCTCTAAACTCCTAATCGCCCTAGTCTTGGGTATTGCCAGAATACCAAGAATGCCTCTGTTGTTGTTAGGTGCTGTTGAATTGGTTTCCACTCATGTTGACCCGATGCACAAAAGAAGGAAACCAAAACACAAGGGATGAGGTCTGACCATTTCTGTTTCTAAGGAGTATTCTAGCTGTACTTCTCCCAAGATATATTTGTTCAGTCTTCTGACAGTCCATGGTGTACTCAATATTATCTGCCAACAGTATGATCCCAATGCATCAATTCTTCTACAGTCTTTCTTATTCATTGTTCAGCTTTCACACGCATATGAGGAAACTGAAAAGACCATGGCTTGGGTCTTGGGTTAGGCACACACAAAGTATTTTTTAAAAAGAAAAGTAATACCTTAACAAATGTTCAATTGGCAAATGTTGCATTATGTGTGTGTGTGTGTGTGTGTGTGTGTAGAGAAAGAAGGAGCTCTGGTGGCATAATGGATAAGATATTTGGCTACTAACCAGAAAGTCAACAGTACAAATCCACCAGCTGCTCTATGGAGGGATGATGGGACAATGTACTTCTGTAAAGATTGACAGCCCCAGAAACCCCATGCGGTCACTATGAGTCAGAATTGACTTCATGTTGTTGTGGTTGTTAAGTGCCCTCGAGTCATCTCTGACTTAGAGCAACCCTATGCACAGCAGAACAAAACACAGCCTGGTCCCACACCAGCTTGATAGCAGTGAGTTTTTGGTATATAGATTACAATAATTTTTTTTTTTAAAATAGTACATGAGACACTTGGAGGGGGATCTATGTAGGAGATCCCGGATAGAGACGGAGAACAGTGTGGAACAAAACTCAAAATCATTTGGAAAAAAAAAAGGGCAGGGTCCAGGTTTGCTGGTCTGATAGAGCTTGGTGGAACCACTGAGACTATGGCCCCTAGCTGCCCTTCAGGTCTGGAACTGAACCCCTACCTGTGGCTTCCAGCCAAACAAAAGACAGGCATATTAGGTGAACATTTACCTGAGGTAGATACACTCCTTGGAGAGAACAATCATGGGAGAAAGAAGGGCTGTTTATACACAGGGAGACAGCTGAGGGGGCAGGAGTGCATGAAGGGATGGACATAGGGAAGAGATGAGTGCTGGAAGAAAGTGGGAGGGGAGCTGTTGCATTGTGGTGAATTGCAGTCAATGTCATGAGACAAAGTATACGTGAATTGCTGTATGGAAAGTGAATTTGCTCTGTAAATTTTCACCCAAATAACAATAATTAAAAAATAATAATAATACATGAGAGGGGCCAGTGCTGACACTAATTTAGAAAAGAGGGAACTGCTGATCTGGTGACTGGCCACTCAGTGCAGTCAGAAGCTTGGACAGTGATATCACTACTGTCATTTTGGGTGGGCTCCTGTAAGCCTAATAACTAAGGCCAGAATAACCCATGGTCCCTCACAAGCTCGTTGGCATAACCCATATGGATATCTGATACTGAACTTCTCCTAAGCAAGTGCCCAGGTTTCACAGCCACACATCTGCATTCTTTAGATTACTGATATGTAGGTTTCTTTCTCAAATTTTCTCTGGATGCATTTTATTTGAGCTCCCCTGTATATTCAAGTCTCTTCTGAGCAGTGAAATGCTGCATGAAATCCTGATTTAGAAGTCCTCCTCCTCCTGATTTAGTTTAGGATGACTTGATTTAATCACTTTATTACATAGCCTTTATATCTGAGACAGTGACCTGAGTTCACTTTTCAAATGGACATTTTATGGACTTGAATATGTATATTTTGGTATTTTTCCCTGAACAATTTTACTGCAAACTTACCACAGAAAAAACGTGAATGGTAGATGTACTTACTTTGTTTGCCACCTATGAAGTTGCTGTCACCAACTCAGTAGGTCAATTATGAATGTATATCTGGGGAACGTTTCTGCCACTTTTGGTAAGCATTCAACCACTGATTTATATTTGTTTACTGAAATAAAAGGTAAAGCCTACATATTCTGAGTATTTTAATTAACCCCAAATCCACATACTTTCCACAAAGTAGGTGTATTTAATTTTTTCAGGAAAAAAAAAAGGATGATATAGTGATATCATTATCTCTTCATGAGTTATTGATAGGCAAAGCTTTCTTGATTTTTCTCTTAGGTAATATTTTAATACATGTTTGTTTTAGTTACCT